GACCCCCTAACGCAACTCCTGAAAAGGTCCGGATGGATTTATTCGGCCCATTTCCGAAGTCTACGGCTGGTAACCACTGGATTGTGGTTGCCACCGATTATTTAACCAGATACTGCGAAGCACAAGCTGCCCAAGGAGCAACTGGTCTCGAGGTGGCTAAATTTTTTATCAAGAACATCGTTCTCCGCCACGGTGCTCCGCTCTCGTCATCAGAGATTGTAGCACTGCTTTTACAGCGCAGTTGCTCGAAGAGATCCTGTTGATGAGTGGCATGACGCACCGCACAGCAACTGCGTACCACCCGCAGAATAACGGGTTAACCGAACGCCTTAACAAAACGATTGCAGATATGTTTTCGATGTATGTCGTCAAAGATCAGAATTGGGATGAAATCCTCCCGTATATAACAATTGCCTACATTACAGATCTCCAAGAAACCATCGGCTTTGCTCCTTTTTGTCTGGTTTACGGCCGCGACGTCACCACATTGCTCGACACCACGCTGCAACCAACTCTGCCGGACATGATTACCTTGGACGCAGATGTATTCGTTCTGCGTGCCGAAGATTTCCGGCAGCTGGCGCGCTTTCGCATTTTATCGCGGCAAAATCATGATGCTCGCCGGTACAACATCCACCACAAAGCAGTTATATACGAACCTGGTGGCCTAGTCTGGGTTTGGACTCCTATACGTTAACGTGGAAGCTTAGAAAAATTATGTCGGTACTTCGGACCCTACCGAGTTCTTCATCGCCTCGGGGAAGGGAACTACGAAGTTGTCCCACCAAACACGTTGCATCGTTCTCGTAGACCACGCTCTTCGGATGTGGTTCATGTCTCCAGGATGAAGCCTTTCTAATCGCGTCCACTGCAAGTCAAGAGCTTTGTGATGTGGCACTTGCCTTCAAGACAATTCTACATTTCTTTCTTGCTTCTTTTTTTTTCATCTCGTCCTTTTTTTCAATAGACGCAGATATTTTAGCTACCTTTCGTTGTTTTTTGGAGCCATGGCCTTCATGCGACGCTTCTTTTTTATTTTTCTTTGGTGAGAGGGCAATGCCACACTGTGTTGGTGGCAGTAGAGGAGAGCGAAGAAGTGAATAGCTGCTGTGGCTGAGTAAACAGTTGTACACTTCGAGTTCCTGATTGATTGATTGATTGACTTGTGAGGTTTCACGTCCCAAAGCCACCATATCATTATTAGAGACGCCGTAAAGGAGGGCTCCGGAAATTTCGACCACCTGCGGTTCTTTAACGTGCACCCAATGTGAGCACACGGGTCTCCGCCTCCATCAGAAATGCAGCCGCCGCCGCCGGGATTTGATCCCGGGACCTGCGGCTCAGCAGCCGAGTACCTTAGCCACCAGACCACCACTGCGGGGCACTTCGAGTTCCTGTCTATTGTTTCCTGTCACGACAGTATGTGTATTTTACTAGAAAAAGCATACATAAGTAATTCGAAGGACCGTAGCGTTTATCGCGCTGCGCTGGTCATGAACGCTTGCATGAAAAGGCAAGTGTTTCCGCGCCCCGCCGCGGTGGTCTAGTGGCTAAGGTACTCGGCTGCTAACCCGCAGGTCGCGGGTTCAAATCCCGGCGGCGGCGGCTGCATTTCTGATGGAGGCGGAAATGTTGTAGGCCCGTGTGCTCAGATTTAGGTGCATGTTAAAGACCCCAGGTGGTCGAAATTTCTGGAGACCTCCACTACGGTATCCCTCATAATCGTTTGGTGGTTTTGGCACGTTAAACCTCATATACCAATCAATAAAAACGCAGCCGCCACTGCCGAGATTTGATCCCGTGACCTTTGGTGCAGCAGCCGAGTACCTTACCTAGTACACTACCACAGTGGGGCCACCGTCCACTCTGACAGCGTTAACACGAGAATAGTGTGCACGTGGACCTCGCACATGCTAGACAATCGAGAAGCGCACTATGGTCGTGGCGAACACGGTCAGTCTTAGAGCGAGGAGTGAGCGACTTTCCAGTATTTGCCGTTGGTGAGCTTGTTTCGGGGGCATGGAAGTAGCGGCAGATTTCAAGACGCATAATTGCTCCTTGCGACCAACGCAAGATGGCGATAGCATGCTCTGATCTGTGGGGCTTAGCGCCTTAAAGCCACCATACAATTATTAGAGACGCCGAAATAGAAAGCTCCGGAAATTTGCACCTCCTGGGGTTGTTTAACGTGTGGCCAAATTGTAGCATACGGGCCTAGAGCATTTCCGCCTCCATCGAAAATACAACTGTTGCAGCCGGGATTCGATCGCACGACCTGGTGTCAGCAGCCGAGTGTTTTAGCCCCTTTACCACCACTCCGGGAGATTGCGATAACAGTGCTCTGGTGGGTCAACTGTTTCAAAACAGCTTCATTCCATGATTCCCACTAAGGTATTGGTCACCTTGACTGCTAAAACATAGTGAATCATGTTCCAAAATTATAGTTTTCTCTTCATTTTACGTCCTAACAAGTTTGGAATACGTTTTGAAGTTGGAGTATTCAGAAATTTTGATCAATGTCGTTCAAAGCGAATCACTGAATGTTCTAATGTTCATTGACCCGGCTTGTAGCAAGGCAAGCTACTCGAAATTCTTATGGAGGGAGGCGTTTTTTACCCCTGCCACACAATTCATGTCAATGTTTATCGGCAGGTTGCTAAGATCACAAAAGTTTGAAATACACGCATGTGATTTAGAGAAAATTATCCGGTTGGTTGGAAATATACTGCGATGTGATAAAACACCATCCGTACAAAAAAAATTCCTCTACGAAGGCAAGACTAATGCCCCTCACAACTTGCATTCGGCCATATTTGAAACCGTGACAACGTCAAGGAATTTGTGACGCGATAACTTGTATTCATTGCACTCGAACGATAATTGCTCTCAAACTGCTACAAACGATGCATCAGAACCGAATGAAGAGCTTGAAGTTTGATATTGTAGATATAGATCAGAGATGGCGAGGAATTTGGAGGGGCGCCTACACGCCAATTTCTTTACGTCGGCATCTGGGAATATTGGCTTGAGAACACTTTTTCTAAATTAATGTCTAACATATTTGTGCGTTCTGTGCTACAAGCGAGTCTAACGTTGCGACACGGCACGAAAACAGCGAGAGTGTGTAAAATGGCTGACAGAAGGCTCTATAGCGTGAAGTCGGAGCCTGGAAAAGATAATATAGCTGCCCATATTGCTTCCACTATCGTGTTGCACAGTAAAAGTTACCGAAATATTAACATGATAGTGTTTAAGGGCCCGTTTCACAGAAATTCCGGCGTCCGTATCAGCGTCATTGGTTGTGAACGAAAACTCAACATCTTATGACCGAAAAATTGAGAACGATGCAAATAAAATAAACGACGAAAATTCTGGGGACTGAATCAGGGTTGTTTGGGTAGAAGTGGGGATCTAATAGGGTCGTTTGCGTGACAAGCTGATGATCAACCACAAAACCACGCCTCTGCTTGTGAAAACTGTGAGAAGAACTTCCCCTGCTTGAAAACGCAGTGAAAGTAGCTTTCATGCTTCACAAACACACGTGTGCTGTATACATGCTTTACAATGCGACATGAAATAGTGCAGTAATAACGAGTGGTACAAGCATCCACTGCCAACGCGCGTCAAAATTTGTGATTATCATAATGGCTTCACGGGTGAAAGCCGGTACCCCACTACAAAAGACACACACGCTACTGCGCCTATTCCTTTAGGAACACGTAGTGGGTGCATAGCGAATTTCAAGAGGTTTCATGCACTAAGTATTCGAAGTACGCACTAGAAACAGGATGTTGCTAGTGCGTTTTAACTCCTAAAAGCAAAACTTTGGGATCCTCAAATTATAAAAAATACGTTACAAAAACATCTGTACATTGTTAACAATGTACAGATGTTCAATGCTTTAAGATGCCTTGGTTGTACGTGGCTTTGTGGTAGATCATCCGCTTGTCACGCAAACGACCACTTGCTTTAAGATGTCGATATTGTAATTATTGTCATGCGCCTGTGGACGAGAAAACGCATGTAGCTCTTCCATGAGGTAGGCAAACACACTGAAGAAGCGAATGTCGTAAGGTGTGAATGTCATTCAATAGGCTCATGTAGCAGATACAAAATAAATTGACATCAACGCCTAAAGTCATTCGCAGCAAATTACATTACAGGTGCCACGATACAGGGATGTTACTGAAAGCAAACAAAAAAGATAAGCTTTTTTCTAATATAGTCAGTCTCAGCGAGTGCCCTCACCCTCACCCATCCCGAAAAAAATTTCTTGTCTACGGGCGTGTCATTCACAATATTCTTTCACAACAAGATTTTAAGTTTCCCGCCGCGGTGGCCTAGTGGCTAAGGTACTCGGCTGATGACCCGCAAGTCGCGGGATCGAATCCCGGCTGCGGCGGCTGCATTTCCTATGGAGGCGGAAATGTTGTAGGCCCGTGTGCTCAGATTTGAGTGCACGTTAAAGAACCCCAGGTGGTCCAAATTTCTGGTGCCCTCCACTACGGCGTCTCTCATAATCACATGGTAGTTTTGGGACGTTATACACCACATATCATTATCAGATTTGAAGTTATTTTGTATCATTTCGAATGAATGGCACGTGGCAAGATGAGATATAAATTGGCTGTTTTCGTCTTGCGGCTGACGGGATTTCAATTATGAGCTGGACATGCCATGCAATGCTACTCCCATCAGATAAGTTTTCAAATTTGATGTAATTCGCTTTTTCACCAAACGGCCCACGCATTTAGAGCACCAACTATCTGGGCTAATGTTTGCTACATATTTTACAGCTAGCTCACATACGTGAAGACTGCTGAAACGAACTGCTTTTTTTATTCTAAGTGCTAAAAATTTCGATGAGTAATCATACCATAATGCTCGTTATTACAAGTATTATTAGGTTTTTACCAGCAATTTTAATCTAATGAAATGCACGTATTTGTACTTTACCATCTAATGTTCATCTTCTATTTATTTTCACTTTTCTTGTGCAGCTGTCAGCTGGCTGTTCCTACAGGTTCACTCCTCTCTCCATGGATCTAGCTGAGAATCTCGCATCTTGCACGTACAACCAAGGCGGCACGTGCGCCATCTTTGGCCAACTGAACGACATCAATGGCCTACTGCGACAGGTCAAGCTCGAGCTTCGAGAAACATCTCCTGGAACACTGTCACTGACCCAAGCACCCCACTTGCGCCTGAGCCAGGACTTTATGAGTGGTCAGAATCCTGAGGCGTGGCACCTGCTGGATGCGGTTCTACAGCAGCACCTCTGCGTCATCTCTATCTGCATTGATGAACGCCAAGAACTCACCGGTATTCCGTTCGACATAATAACCCGCAAGGTACCTTCGCTTGTTATGCTTCGATTGCGTGCCGTGGCTGTGGGCGACCAAGGGCTCGTTAGCCTAGCGAGAGCTTTACCTTCAGGCCACCGTCTTCAGAATTTGCGGTTGGAGGCTGTTTTCTTGAACGCTGACTGTGTGTTACTTCTGTGCAGCTATTTATTCAAAACAGTGACATTGGAGACTTTTTCATTAGCTCGTACGCACATATGTCACAGTGTCGCAGACAGATTATTCAATGCACTGCAGAAGAGCTTGACAATCCGCACGCTGCAGCTGAGCCTATGTCTCTGCTACCGGGGAGATTACATGGGCCATTGTACCCAGTTGGCTGCCTGCCTGGGCATTAATTGCAAGTTACGCACCCTGATTTTAGAACGCTGCTGCTTCGACTGCGTGCCAGGATTGCAGGTCATTCTGGACGCGCTCAGATATGCCCGGCAGCTTGTCACTCTTTACCTAATCGGATTCAACAACACCAAGGTTTTCGCCGAGGTAATGCCGCTAATTATATTTGATAATAAAGTTTTGCGCAACTTGAATGTCATGCCTGCCGAAGGTGGAGGACAGTTGTGTCAATGTTACCTGAGATACAGATGTCAATCCTGTAAAGTAGAGTGCATAAAAAATGACACCGGAAGCATTACTTCGCTTGCAAGCACGATTCCTCACAATCAGAACATCCAGCTAATGACCATCAACCTTTCCAATTCATCCACAAAGGAATGCCAGAACTTCTTCGAGGCAGTTCGTTGGAATAGTACCCTGCGAAAGGTCACGGTGCTTGGCCTGCGTAGTGAAGACGCGCCGAGTATTTGCAAAATGATACGAGAGTGCGGCATAACGCACAGAATACTTTTTAAATGCCAGCTGAACGTCCACGACCCTGTTGAGGCGGTAATTACATGTCGAAATTTTTCATCCATCCGTATAAACGCCGTTCATCCAGAAAACTCGGAGCTCCTCAGTAAGTCGCTGACGCTGTTACCATTTTGGACCCACACAACGGAGCTCTCTCTGAGCCTCTCCTTTGATGGCTTAGTGAGTACACACAGACTCTTCGTACGTTACCTGGAGCGAGCAACCAAGCTAAGGAGTCTACAACTGCTAATGAATGAACCCATCACAAATGTGGCCGTTCGGCGAATAGTACGAGCAGCATTATTCAGTAGCAAAAGTATCCGTAAACTGCACGTAGACAGGGCACTCGTTACCAACGTGGAAGACGCGCGTGTATTGGCAGGCGAACTCTCTGCTAATAAGACGCTATATGAATTCGCACTCTTTTGCGACAACGAATCGCCACTCATTGATGAACTTTTGCGCATTCTGTCTTACACTCTCGAAGCAAATACCACTCTCTGTTGGATACATCACACGGAAGTGCTCTACACGCCTCACTACAACGTCGTGCAGAATCTGCTGCGTCGAAACCGTGCCATGTCAATGTGTGCTGCCCATTTCGTAATAGGAACCAAACAGACCGAGCGCTGCGCAGACGCTTTTCGGCGTGTCTACAATACACCAGGCCTCCTTGCTTACGTAATGGAGACTGCGTCTATTGGAGAGATTGACGCAGCTTTCGCGATACGGGCAGCGCTGTCTAAGAAGGCTGAGGAAGACAGGTCTTTTTTTTAAATTAGCCTTCCTTAGACTTGTGACATGGTAAGACTTCTGCTACGAGTTGTTCAAACTCTGAACCGCTGAAAGATGCTATTCTTACTTCTTCTACTGTTTGCCTTCTGCAAAAAACAGCTACTGTGAGAAAGCGTGTGCAAGATGCAGCGTTTACTGAGGGATAAGTTGGCATGCAACTATTGGCAAGTTGGCATGCAACTTGGCATGCAACTGGATAAGTTGTCATGCAACCTCGGAGCGACTTAAATTATAAACTTCTTAGGGGTTTTTAAAAAACTGCACGTTGCAGCAGAGGTGAGAGTAATCTGTCCTTGTTTAAAGAGAAGAGCCCCTTGATGAGATTTATTCTGTGCCCTAAAAGTGAGATGAAGCATTCGGCCGCGTTGATGCTTCAGAGCAGCAACCGTCTCTTTTGGCAAAGCTTTACCCATCATGCCCTCTTGCGGCAAACGCGGGCAGAAAATGTTGCTTCTCAACCCACTTGGCTTTGCGCATTGATTAACCCGTGATTCCGTGCTTCAGAGAGTGATGTATAGTTGCCGTCGTTTGAACTACAGCTAATGTATTTGACCTCCTTTTGCACTGAGTCAGTAATCTCAGAAGGGTGAACGTAACTTGTAGCGAAGCTTTCCTAGAAGCGCATACGTACAGAAAATGGAGGCTAATCAGATCTTCATGGGGCTTGGTGCCATCTGTGTGAGGAGGGTGCGGAAAACAAGGAGGATCCCTGGATCCTGACGTTGTGCTATTGTGAAGGTCAGCTGCCAATAGACATCCGCAAACGAAAATGTTTGGTCCCAGATTCCAGTCCGGTGCACAACAGACGGGTTGCGTCCGAACTGAGTGATATTCCATGGCTTTCCTGCGTCGTCGTTGCGACACAAAACAACACAGGTTCCACAGAATCTCTTCTGTACGCATCACGATCGTCCCTAGGCTCTGGCCCCGTACCTGCATGAATGAAGCACTACAGAGGTGAATATTCGTGAATTTTCTGCGGCCGCCTGCAGCTGTATAGCACGACATATAATAGTTTACAAAAGTAGATTTTATGCCATAATTTGCGAAAATTCACGTTCATTTAGGTGGCAGTGTATGTCGCGGAAAATCGTAGTCATCACGTCAGGAATGTTCAGAATATGCCGAGTGCTTTACATGCTGACTATCACAGCTGAAACCCCCTTTCAGTTTACGATGGGTTCGCGAGCTCTTCAAGCTTCTTGCTTTGAGTGTTTGAGTATACGTAAACGCGCAATAACGAGAGAACAAATTTTGTTTGAACAACATTTCTTTACAAACTAGCCAGTTCCTGGTTGAAATAGATTTTGTTCTCTCGCCGAAGGAAGGCGCAAGGGAGACAGACGAGAGCGCTGTGCCATGTTGGCTATTTCACGGACGGCTTTGATTGCCGCCAAGTTCTGCTGTTAATCTTGTCGTTTTATTTCTTTAGCAACTGACTAAAATGGAGATACATGAAGGTATATCCCGTGTTTCTTGGCCTAATAAACTTACGCCTCGAGACACAAAAATACGAAAACACTCGTTCGACAGCCCACGATCACGGCTGCCATGTGGTTTACTATTTCATGGTGTTTCTAACTTTTCTCTTGTATATACTTGTGCAGTGAATCTAGATTTCAGTTTGTTTAAGTGGTTGATTGATATATATGTTGGGTTAAACGTGCCAAAACTACCATAGCATTATGAGAGACACCGTAGATGAGGGCTCCCGAAATTTCGACCACCTGGGGTTCTTTAACGTGCACCCTTATCTGAGCACATGGGCATACATTTCCGCTTCCACCAGAAGTGCAGCCGTCGGAGCCGGGATTCAAACCCACTACCTGCGAGTCAGCATCCGAGTACCTGAGCCACTAGACCACCACGGCGAGGTATTGTTTAAGAGGCTGTACCTTAATAGCTTAGTCCCGGATTCCGAGTTTCTACGTTTGTTTTCTCTACACGCAAATATTGCAAGCTTGTAGCAACAGTCTGCAGTGTCAGAGATTGTAGAATTGAGTGGACTGCATCATTTTTGTTTTTACAATTCATCGACGGCATTTATAAATAATTGTTTTTTCAATAAACTTCTCTGTATTTATTAAATGAATTTTTAAAAATCAAAATGGCCTGATTTTTGCGAAATATTGTTGTTTCAGTAATCTCCAGTAGACCATTGGTGGTGGTTGTCTGAGTAGAAAAAGTGCATCGAAGGCGTGCCTTCTCGAAATAGAACCTCTCTCAGAGGCCGCTCTTCACTTCAGACTAAACGAGGTCACATCTTTTGGAGCCTGCCATCCTAGAAATAGCTGTCCTTGAAGGCGTCTTCTAGAACAGCATAATATCAAACGTTCAGATTGTTGTGTTTATGGGCAACGCACAGATTATACAGCTCGTTTCTGGGATCCTCAGAGACAACACCATTGTCAAAAACTTTTTCATACGTTGCGTTCGTGAAACAGTTGTTCCAGATAATACTGCTTTTGTTAAACAATATATTTCTGCGAAATAGCTAGTCGGAGTAATTAATGTATCAATGAATAAACTTTATTTGAAGCCTAGCTGTTTTCTCAGGGTGACAGGGAAAGGGGATTAACGCCTGTCTCTTCCCAGCCTCCATCAATTTTGACGACTGTGCCTCGGGTGACCGCTCATAGTCCTTGGACCTGGGCGGCATCTTCGGCTTGCAGGACGGCCCAAAGCTGGTCGGCCAGCTCGTCGCTGGTGAGTGCTGCTTCCCAGCGGCACCAAAGCTGACGTAGCCAAGCCGCAGCAGTGATCGCAGCCTCTGCGGTTAACAGCCCCTGCTTTCGCGTGGTGTTAGCAGAAGCAACTGGCCTCGGAGTTTGTCCCTGCCTAACATTCGTCGCGAAGGGAGTGGTGGCAGCGACTATAACTTGTCCTACACAATTGCGAAGCTTGTACAGCAGTGTGGCCTTTTCTCCGCAAGCTTTAGACGCGTCCGTCAGGTATTCGCGACGAGATCAGGCTATAGGTAGCAGCACCGCCCCCCAGGACTGAGGATAGGGGTTCGGCAGCACATATACAAATACTACAGTGTCTAGAAAAATAGTGCCTAGTGTGCTGAGCGCGGGCGAAGAGATAACTCTGTCGCTGATGACTGCCGATGGTGCCCGCTTGATGCGCTGCGGCGCGAGTCGGTGCTTCGGTGCGAGTGGGTGCATCTGCGTTCCATCCGCGCGTTCCGCAAGCGCTGCGAAGCTTTCAGTAGGCCGAGTCGGGCGAGGCCAACTGTCAATTGGGGAGACACTGGGTGATGGAGTGGCTTGCGGACACGTCTGCATTGGCTCCGCCAACCGACGCTGTTCAACTGAGTTAGATGTGCTTTCCCTCCAATATTTCTACTGTAGCAACTCCGCGAAGTTTCAAGGAACACCTGAATACCCCATTAATCACGGTAGGTCCACTGGAACCTCTTTTGTGGGTCCTTTCTCCGACACCAAAGGATAGGCCTATTTGTGCTTATACACGGCATTGGGCGCCGCAGCGCGGAAAGGTGGAACGCGTGGCCGCTTGTTCGGCTGACCCCCAAGGAGGCCATGCCTCAAGAGGCTATGGTAGAAAGAGAGCAAATCTCCAAAAAGGAAGCCGAGTGCAACAGCCGGATTATCACTTACAGAAAGCGGAATGCGGATAAAACCCGCTTCAAGCACGAGACGCCCTCGGCTAGGCAAACTGGAACCCACGTTCGCCCCGCTAAAGCCAGCCAACTGAGAAAGCTTGCCACAGCCTCCAGGCTACCGCGCCTGCCCACATCACACTTCCGAGTGGTCATCTGCCCAGGGGGAGGGCTGGACGTGCGAACATGCAGTCAGTTAACGGTCACGCAAGCCATCTTAATGGCTGCCAGGCTGTGCCCAGTGGCAGCCGAGGAGGATATTGTGTGTGCGAACGCTATGCAGAATATCTTCATTATAAGCACAACCTCCGAATCGAATGCCAATGCATACTGCAAAGTGCAGGAAATATTTTTGGCAGATAAAAAGCACTCTATCTCGGCGTACATTACACCTCCGGGAAATACCTGTAGAGGTGTGCTCAGAGGCATCTACACCAATCTGGCCAAAGCTGCGCAGCAAAGCCTTTTTGTCACACCCAGAAACCCGATTGTGATCAGAGTCAGGCGCATAAAAGAGACCCCTACTGGGATTGTACTGTTCAACGGCATGAAAGTGCCCAACTATGTACACTGCGCCCCCAACATGCTACGTTGTACACTGTACAAGAGGCAAATCGACACTTTCCGTAACTGTGGCCGAATCGGCCACAGGCACGATGTCTGCCCTAGACCGACTGAAAAAGTGTGTGAAAAGTGCGGGACTTCGATCATCGCAAACGGACACGAATGTGTGCAACCGAAGTGCGCGCTATGCGGAGACGCTCATCTCACCAGTGACCATACCTGCTAAAACCGATACAAAATTCCCTACGTTGTAAGTAGACGACGTAGAAAAAGAAAGGCATTCACAAGATGAAGAATGCTACGAGCGAAGCCGGAGATCGGGAAATCGCCGCTCCTACCAAGACACCAGCTGCGGCTGCTCCAAGGAACGCCGCCACGGAACGCTCTCGAAGTTCCCGGGGTGGCTTCAACTCGCAACCTATCTGGGCGGACAAGGTAGCCGGAACAGGTGAGGCCCATGCCCCCGCGCAACCAGGGCAACTGTCACAGCAAACGCGACACAAAATATAATCACTAGAGCGCGAGAATGCGTCTCTTCAACACAAATTATCTGATGATAGGTCAATCATGCAAGAAATGCAGCAGCGAGAGCGCGCGTCTGGCGATCAAGCTACCACAGCCCCAGCGTCCTACAACAGAGGCGCGAAACGCAGGGCTGGCCCTGAGCCTTTGGACGAGGAGCCGCTTAACGTCTCAAGCATCCAAACACTGCTTGAAAAGCTAAGTAATGGCATTATTGATGAAATTACCCCTATCAGGCTCCAACTGACCGAGCACACCACGAGGCTTCAAATTTTAAAATCATACAGGCAGCACGCACTGCTTGGTACACCCCCTTCGAGTCAGTAAAATGGCTAACGCAAGCAATCTAGTAATCTGGCAATGGAATCGCGTCAGCTTCCACAAAAGGAAGGCCGTACTGCAACACTTTCTTAGCTTTGCTACCGAAAGGCCATCAGTAATCCTCCTCCAGGAAACTCTCACTGATGTCATCGCTCTTCGTCACTATCGTGCAGAAGGGTATTTCGAGGAGGGCAAGAGTGGTCTAGTGACACTCGTCTCAAAGCATCTCGCCTATTTACGTCATGATGGTAGGCCGGGCTTAAAATTGAAACACATCATGATCGAGCTCATCCCGAACGCTAAACTTAGCAATCCGTTTTCATTTTAAACGTTTACAGCTCACCAGCCGACAGAAAAGAGACGTGTCAGGCTCTTTTACACAAAGCGTGTAAAATTGCAGGTGATCGAACGCTCATTAGAGCAAGGGACTTTAACGCACATCATCAAGATAGGGGCTATATCAAGGATACCGTAAAAGGCAAAGCCCTCGCTGCACAGATCAGAGCTTGTGGTCTCACATTGTCACCGATCCACGATACCCCACCAGAATAGGCAATTCGGTCAGCAGGGATACCACACCAGATTTCACCATGGTTAGGAGTGCAGAGGAACCCATGACTAACTTACAAGAGAATCTTAGTAGCGATCACTACATTACCAGCCTCGCGATAAGAATCTCGTCACCACCGTTCAGAAAATTTCACGTCACAGACAGACCTTTTCAGAGCTATCAGAAAGCAAGAAGACAATAAATACAACTCGTTAAACGAATTAATCACTAGCCTCAAAGAAGACGTTGCTACTTCCACAAAGGAAGCGAAGACAGAAAGAGATACAAAGCGCATGGACAGTCGATTAGCCCACCTTCTGGAAGCTAAAAACGCGCTGCAGGCTCGATGGAAAACGCAGAAACTAAACCGATGCCTACGCGAAAAAATCGCTGAACTTGAAATCGCCGTGCTGGGTCCGTCGGTGCGGTGAGGTAGATAGATGAGCATAGTGAAACGCTAGCTCGACAGCAATGGGATGAAGTATGCAATGCCGTCGACGCGCAAATAAGGAGTGGTGGGATGTGGAACCTCCTCAAACTTCTACTGGGAGATAAAGAATCCAAAACCAATCAGCAGCTTACAATTGACAGACTTATCCACAACCTAAAGAACTCTGGTCTGACAGAGGCACAAATTATCGATGAGCTCGCTTCGAGATATCTTTGCACAGAACCCGCCTTACACAATGACAACCCTCCTGCTTTGCCAGAGAACGGAACGCACCCTCTTGGTTCCCCCTTCACGTGCACAGAGGTACAAAAGGTTCTATATGAGCTCAACGGCACATCAGCTCCGGGTCCCGATGGGATCAGCAACAAACTTAAAGAATTTACCTGACGACGGTATCGAGCTTCTAACGAATAAAATCAACGACGCGTAGGAGACTGGCAAGGTTCCAATAGATTGGCGCGACGCGACCGTCATCCTTATTCCGAAGACCGGGAAGCCCCTAGAGCTTGGCTCGCTCCGGCCGATATCTCTCACTTCATGTGTAAGGAATGTCGCCGAGCACGTCATCCTCAAGCGGGTCACGAAATTTGCTGAAGAAAGGAATCTCTTTCCATTTAATCTAATTGGATTCAGCCCGTCCATGTCAACGCAGGATGTAATGTTGCTTTTAAAACGCAAGATTATTGGCAGGGTCTCCAGAGACACCAGAGCTGTTCTGGCACTTGACCTTTAAAATGCCTTCGACAAGGTCAAACACTCTCACATACTTAATTCTATTAAAGAAGCTGGTCAGGGAGAACACTTTTATAACTACATCAGCTCATTTCTTAGGAATAGAAAAGCTACCATTCGCCTAGGATCTCTCGGTTCGAAGACGTTTGATCTTGGACCCAGAGACACTCCACAAGGGGCAGTGCTACCCCATTTCTATTTACCTTATCGTGGAGACCACCACTTTCCCACAGTCTGGCCGAGATTAAAATTCTCGGTCACGCCTTCTACGCTGACGACCTCACCGTCTGGTGCGAGGGAGGTAGTGATGGGCAAATAAGGGCGATTACAAACAGCGATCAGGGTTGTCGAAGATTTACTTCACAGGGCAGGACTCTGCTTTTTGGCTAATAAATGAGAACTGCTCCTTTGCCGGCCAACAATCAGTGCAAAAAAGAGAAGTTTTCCCGATATCTTGATCACCACAACGAACGGCTCTATTATTCCGATCGTAAAGAAAGTTAGAATCCTCGGTATGTTCCTGGAGGAGGATGGCAGTAACGCCTATACGTTAGAACGCATCGCAGCCAAAGCCAATTCCATGACAAAATTAATCACGAGGGTGGCCAACAAACGAGGGGGTTATCCGAGGAGAACCTTTGTAGACTCTTTCACGCCTTCCTAATGAGCCACACGCACACAAACACCTTTCTAATGAGCCACACGCACACAAACACGCACGCACTTGCACGCACACACACACACGCACACACACGCACACACGCACGCACGCACACACACATGCACGCACACACGCACACACACACGCACGCACACACGTACACACACACGTACACACACACGTACACACAGAGAGACACGTGTGCACGCACACACACACACACACACACACACACACACACACACACACACACACACACGTACACACTTCTTAGGTACAAGATGTGTAATTTGCGAACACTGTAGGAACAGCATCGAGCTTCAGGCGTGGCTTCCATCAGGCGATTTCATTCACGACACCATTCACCGTAATCTGAAAAGATCGTTCGATGCAGTCACTCTCAAAATGTCGTTCGCAAACGACAGCCTTTGGCGTCAGCCTTTTGTCTGCCTTCTTGATCCTGCTTTCCCATGATGCAAGCCATGCTGGGTCCGTCGGTGCGGTGAGCAAAGATGCCCTGTCCTCGTTCGACCGATAACCGCTTCGACACAGAGGCACAAAACATAATTAATCGACGTAGCGCGTTTAGAAACATAGGACAAGGGAAGGGACAGAAGGGAGCGCTTACTTCCAATACAATTTTATTTTGAGGAGCGTACATATATATGCTCATGAAATTCGAAAACTACAGACAAACAGATGAAAAACCCTCTATTGCCATGCGCTAAAAACTTATGATCTCAAAAACGACAATTCTTTTTCACAAAGACCGAGAGAAGGATTGTTGACGCAGTTCAGCCCTAATCTACTAATCCTTTCTGCTTCAATAATCTCCCTTGTCACTTTATTTCTGTTTTTTGCTACGATTACCGTACCATGAAAAAGTGGTTTGCAGCCACACGTGCTGCAATGCAGTGCCAAAAAACCATCTCGACCATTTTTTACGTTGCAAGCGTGTTCGCGGAGCCGGTCATTATTACACCTGCCAGTTTGTCCTATGTAGTGTTTACCGCAGAAAAGAGGTATCTGATAGATTACAAATTGCGCGCATGTGACAAACAGTGTTAAGTGCTTTTTAGAGCATCCCGGTTTTGCATGTGAAACAACTTTCATACACAAGAACGAGAGCTTTTTCGGGGCAGAAAATACCACCTTTACATTGGCCCGCTCTCCAACCTTTTTCAAGTTGTGGGAGATTCCATGCAGATAAGGCACTACGGCCAGCTTCTGACGTCTTACAGGCTCAACATGATGGAGAGCTTGTTGCAAGGACTGAAGCTTCTTGACCAGAATTCCCGCGACAGAAACCTGTAGGTGAGAGGGGTAGCCAGCGTCCAGAACTCGTTCTGCTTGTTCCTTGAATCTAGCTGCCATCAGATGTGGACAAGACTTCTGTAAGGCGTTACTAAAGCACATGTTTACAATGCCTCGTTTTACGAGCTTAGTATGGGCGGAGTGGTACGGAAGCAAGGGTTTGTTACTCCTCGGTTTGTACATCCAACAAATGTGGTCTAAGTGAAAAATGAGAGCGATATCTAAATATCTGAGAGTGTTAATTACAGGCAACTCATGGGCTAAAACAAGGGGACTAAACCGCTCCTTGATGAAGTTGAGGATATCTAGGGCACAAAAATTGGGGTCACAGTCAAGAACAATGAGGAAGTCGTCCACGAATCTAAAGATGCGCATGATTTGGTT